CATCAAAGTTAGCCTAAAAGGTGAAGTTAATACAATAGACGAAAGTTAGTGTGTGAACGTGTTAGATTCAAAGTGATCGGACATTCTTTCTCTAGTTCGACCCTTTTCCGTGCATAGCGGGAGCTTCATGCACTGAGTTACTTTTTATATATGTACGTATGTATGTATGATTTATCCATTACAAGATTAGAAAAAGGTGAAGTTAGAACAGTTTATGAAAGTTAGCGTGTTATAGTTAAACAAATTATATATTCTCTTAATTTTGAACAGTTTTTATGACAAGTTGCGTGTCTTATGAAAGTTAGCGTGTTATAGTTAAACAAATTATATATTCTCTTAATTTTAGTTTTTAGATTAAAATTTAGGTATCTTCTCCTTATGAAGTTTCAATGCTTCTCTGAAAATGACTTTTAGCAGAAAATTTATGAGTCATGACCCAGTTTATGTTACGACCAGCAGGTAAAAAGATTGGAATGCTACTTTCTATTCTGTTACTATCTACTCATATTGTGCTATTACTTGGTCATGATATCATTTTTAACTTCAAAAATGGAGAAAACAGGAGAAAAATATGAGAACGAAAACCCACCAATAAGGAGATCTCCGCATGTAATAGATATTTATTAAATGCGTTTTCCTTTTCTTGGTGGGAAAATTCATAGTTATTTAATCCAATAGACCCACTTTGCTTGCTGCTTCATCATTTTCCTTTGATATATAAATATATGGCTTCATATATTTCTCTATTAATATCTGAACAAGGAAAAGATATTTAATTATGATATTCGAACTTTCCTGTTTAATGTCCATTCGTTCTGGCTTTTCAGAAAGAGGCAGAAAAATTAGGAAGAGAAGGAAAAATTTTGCAGAAAAGCAAAAAACACACTGCCAAGATCTTTTGTCAAGTGTGAGAATAAATATTCCATCTTATTTTTTCCATTACGCCATAATTAAATATTTTATACACAACTTATTTTAAAAATTTTGTCTTCGCCAACCTCCATAAGCTCCAGGAAGTTTGTTCACCAAACTTCTATAAGTCAATCGGAAATTTCTGTTCAACCAAACCTACCTAAGCAAGGTAGTCTCACCTACTTCTTCGACTTCAACAAACGTAACACAAAATCTAACATACCTCCAAAAAACTGTCAACAACACTTGGCATCAATTTTAAGCTTAATGGAGCTTTGTTAGCTGTAACTTTAAACACTCTCCCTTGATGCAAGAGTTGAAAACACAACACCAAGTCTATTCTAAGATTCCCAAATCTCTGGTTTTTGCACTGCCTTTGGTAAAATATCTGTTGTTTTGGTCTTCAGAACTGCAATGAACACACCTGAATTTCATTTTCCCTTTTCAGCTTACAGCGGTATTGGCATGGTACTTTCGATTTTTTTATGCTTGGTTTTTCTATGGAAGATTCTGGATTCTTAACCCATCAGTACAGCATGATTTGTTGTCAAAAACGTATTTTATGTTTGGATTCTCCTTCGATGAAAATTCATACATCATCTTCACACTCCTCCTCCCATGATAGCTCTCCATCAGGCAATTTTTAAAAGGTTTCATTCCACCTGAGTTTGAGTTCAAGTGAGACAACCATTACCTATCTGGCTCGTAACATTTCCTCTAGGGCTCTAGTTCCTCTATTGGCATAATCACTCTTCAATATGAACTTCTTCTTATTATCACTGGAAGTTCTTGCTCCTTGCTCTGCTGGAAATCGATCCTTGTTTTCAAGAACTGATTTAGAATTTTCTTGGTTCCATTCTTACTCCAATCCCATTCATCTTTCCTCATCGAATTTTGACACTCCTGCTGACATACAATGTTTAAGTAAGCAGGATTCAATTCTGTAGGCTTTGGGGCATTTTCCATTGTTGTTCTTCAATACAGATGGCAAATCAGCAACTAACTTCTTGCGATCTGTAGCAATTTTAATGAATTGACGATTTTGGCTGCTGACCTAAGTCTCCTTATGCACAAATTCACATTCTTCTTTATTGACTCAAACAAGATTCTTCTTCGAAGTTCTCTTTTAAATGTAGTACGGAAGCTTCTCCCGTTTATTTTGACATAGAAATTAACTTTGAGCCAAGAAGACTCACTTATTTCCAACAAGTTTTCATCTTTAAATAGCAAACTGTAATTCTTATCCAAGCAATTGCCAACGAAAACCAAGTTTCGGCATTTAGGTCTCCGTACAGTAAAGCACATCGGAAACTACGTTGTACTGAAGGAGTTTTTGTACAATACTCGCCTTTGACATCAACAAGCCTACCATCTCTAAGTCTGACTTTTGAAGAATAATTTGTATCCAAGCTATCGAAATTCACCAAGTTTGGTGTCATGTGGTTAGTGCAACCACTATCAACAAGCCATGCTTCTTTAGCTTCAATTGAGACACCACATTTTTCAATTTCATTTGCAGCAAATAGTTGTTCTTCAGAGTTTTCAGAATTTTTGGTGACTTGTGCATGATGGCAGCAAATAGTTGTTCTTCAGAGTTTGCATGATGGGCTTGTGTTTGTTGATTCTGGTTTGTAGAACAAACTTTCTCGGTGTGACCAAATTGCTTACAAACCTTACATTGAGCTCTAGGTCTGAACTAGCAGTAGTTCTCAGTGTGGTTTGTTTTTTTGCAATGTGGACAAGGTGGAAATCTGTCTTTCCTCCAATTTTTTTTGAAATTGTTCTTCATTTTTGGTTGTTGAGTCACTACAAGAGCCTTCTCTCCCAAGGTTTCTTCTTCCCTGTAGGCTTTTCTTTGTTCTACAGCTTGTAGAGCATTTAAAAGCACATTCAATGATATTTGTGACATGTTCCAAGTATCTTCAAGAGAAGAAATCTTGGCTTCAAATTTTTCAGGGAGAGTTACCATAACTTTCGCCGCAATTCTCTTCTCTTCTAACTCTTCTCCCCTCCCAACAATCGAATTTGGTTTACAATTTTCATAACTCTATCAACATAATCTTTCACCTTTATCTTTCTACCTTTTCATTATCCTTCATTTCTCAACATTTCAAAATTAAATACCTGCATCTGCTCTTTATAGTCTTTTCAGATCCATGATACTCAATTTTTAACTGTGCTCCTAAGCCTTCATGTTGCTGTCTCACAGTCATACATCTTGGTGAAGATAGATCCTGCCAACCAGCTCCATGGATATAGGACAGAGCTTTCTGGACCTTAGCAACGCTACGTTGCTGCATGGTTGTCTAAGCTGCCTGAAGGCGTTGGACTTTTGATTAAGATGCTCAGTTACTCTGTTTTCCTCCACATAACTGCCATAATCAAGCCCCTTGAAACTAAGCTCTCATCTTCACAGCGCCAAACATGGTAGTTTTTCCCCAGTAAAATGGAGGTGCGTGAAGAGACATGTTTGCCTGGAACCATTTGAGGAAAAGCAAATAAAGCATAAAAACTTCACAAATTGCTGGTTTATTTGGTGGCGCCTTTCTCTATGTTTCACTCAAACCACCACACAGGCCTTTGAGGAATCAAGGTTGCCTCTGATACCACTTGTTGGTTAGAAGAGCAGAAAAATGAAGAAGAGAAGAATATTCTGCAGAAAAAGAAAAAAAAACTGCCAGATTTTGTTAAGTGTGAAGAATTAAATATGCAACATCTTATTTTCCATTACACATAATGACGTAAATATTATACTAAACTTATTCTAATGTTTGCTTCACCAACCTTCCATAAGTCAAGGAAGTTTGTTCACCAAACTTCTATAAGTCAAGGAAGTTCTAGTTCACCAAACCTACGCTAAAAGCCCCAAGGTAGTATCAACCTACTTCTTGACTTCAACAAAGTACAACAAAAATCTAAATAACAAAATCTAAATGACTTTAACAAAATACCTCCAAAAACTGTCAACAACACTTGCATCAATTTTAGTTTCAATGGAGCTGTAGCTGTAACTTTAACAGTCATGCCCAACCTTCAAGTTGTACCTTTTTAAACATGGATAATGCAAGATGGGTAATTAGTCAATGTAATGGTTCCCTGTTTTTTTCCATTTAAGACCTTTCACATGGTTTGATTTCTGATACAACAGATATAGCTTGGGGGAAAAGCAAATTGCTACCGTATTACTGGAAATTTAGTTGCTTTTGCTAAATGGGTTTTCTGTTGTAAAATAATCAAACTGAAAACAAAGAGTGTTTGAGGTTTTACTCAGAGATGAATCCAAGAATTCTGACATTCCTGACATTCTTGCTTGTTGCTTCCCTCCAAATTTTGAGCATAGAAGCACAGACTAACAGTCAAGATTGTAAGTTCACTACAGTTTGTATTCTCTACTTTCTTGGTTTGGTTATTTCACAAGAATTATGTTCTTTTTTACCTTCTTTCTTTTTATATATTTTTATCAAAAGTAGCATATATGGGTTCAATGCCAACTCAAGGGCCTTTCTTAACTATCTATAATTTTATTACCAATAAAAAAGATTCTATTTTTTTGTTTTCTGGGTCTAAATTCATATCAGAGATAATTATAAGCTGGAGAAAAAGAATTTGCCAAGTTAATATATATAGTTTTATATCTGAAATTCACACATATCTGAGTTACACAACCAAACCCAACTTTATAAAGCATGTAAATGAGATACAAATCTCACAAGTTATGCAATTATGCGCAGAAAATTCTTCTGTAAACTGTGTAAAAACTGGTAGTAAAAACCAATTTTCGGTTTCTATAGATTCTAGATACATGTCAAACAAATGGCCGAATTCTATGCTAATACTTGTGCTCCACTTGATTGATGCCCAGCAAACTGCGCTGAATGCTTTAAAGGATTCAATGGGAAACACACCACCTAATTGGGTGGTGCCAGATCCTTGTGGAGAATAGATGGGATGGCATAGGGTGCACTGCTCAACGCGTGACTTCCATGTAAAAGTTCACCTTCTTTGATTATCACCACCTGTGACAAATTGTTGTCCTTGATTTTAAGATCTTGCCCTGACTATTTTAATTGCCCCAGAAGATTGCCAGCATGCGATTGAAGGACAGCCTGTCTGGAGATATCTCATCCTTCTCAGAACTACAGATTCTGTAAGTCTCGATAATTATTCTTCATCACATTAGTTATTCTATCTAGAGTTGTGGGAAACAGGCCTATTCTTTCTTAAGTATTATTTTATTTTGGATGTTGTTATCTATTATTGAATGAAGAAATGAATTTTTTATTGTTATAGTTTATTTCTGATCTTCCAGGCATTTTATTTATCAGGGATCTATCAAACAACAAGGAACTAGGAGGACCTCTTCCGTCTTCTAGTGGGAATTTGAAGAAGCTAAGAAACTGTGTAAGAACATAGCATCTATAGTATTAATTGCGAGGTCATATATAATCTATGGCGTCACAGCGCCTTTAATTGAACCTAACGAATTTACTATTTTATTCTAGAATCTCTGGTTGTAGTTTTTCTGCGTCCTTCCCTGGTTTCAATAGGATCAGCTGCCAGCAACTGCTCTCTCTGTAAGGATCTCAAAGTGCCAAAACTTATGCTAGTTCTGGATGAATCTTGAAAGAAAGATGCTTTTGTTTCCTTGCTGCATACGCCATTTTGAAAGGTCTCAGAATTCATCCAATATCTTTTGTTTCCTCTGCATAAGCATTTGAAATTCTCAGAACTCATCCAATATTTGGCCTTTTGCCTCTTCTATTTTTCCTTTCTAACTTGTTTTGTAGTGCTGTTCCTGTCTGAAAAAATCTTTATTGCTATTAACTGCAGATCTCTAAATTCTAATAGCTTCAGTGGATCAATCCCACCTTCAATTGGCACTCTATCTAAGCTTTATTGGCTGGATCTAGCTGACAATAAGCTTGATGGACCCATCCCAGTCTCCACAGGGACTACACCTGGTCTTGATATGCTAGTTAATACAAAACACTTGTATGTCAAAACTTTTTTGATTGGACTTTCTTTTGTTTTTATTAAGTCATTTTATGAAGACTAATATGTGTAGAACTTACTAACAGTCATTTTGGAGAGAACCAGCTCTCTGGCCCAATCCCATCTCAACTTTTCAGCTCAGACATGACTCTCATACATTTGTAAGTTACATTTGTAAGTTTCTTTCCAATGTATTATGATAATAATAGGGGAAGATGATAAGTTGCTGAAGAAATACAAATTATTTCTTGGTTCTATTTCTTCTTTTTGTTTGGGCAGGCTTTTTGGCAGCAACAACCTCTCTGGTAGTATTCCTTCTTCTGTTGGCCTTGTAAAGACTTTGGAGGTTGTGTGAGTATCTGTATCGAAAACTTGGGAGTTTTAAATGTTGGCATTTCTGTCAATCAAGTTTGTCCTGAATGTATTATGTTGCCTACAGACGCTTTGATAGGAATTCATTGACAGGTCCTGTCCCTGAGAACCTCAACAATCTTACCAGTGTTAGTGATTTGTAAGTAAACAGAAGAGAATTAAAGCTTTCATAATGATTTTATTGAACTCATTGATATGGTTGCATTTGGATTTTTACTCTGTTAAGAGTGCCTTGTTGTTCATTTTCAGATATTTATCCAACAATCAATTGACAGGACCTTTTCCCAACCTCACTGGGATGAATTTGCTCACTTACTTGTAAGGTTTTATGTGTCTATTAATATAATTTGTTATATTAGTAGGGAAAAAAAAAGTTTTATTCTTTTTTTGGACATGCAGGGACATCAGCAATAATAGTTTTGATGCATCAGAATTTCCTTCTTGGATTTCAACCTTGCAATCTTTGACAACATTGTATGTCTCTCTTCCTCCCACCACACTCCTTGCTTATATTTATGAATCATCACATAGAGGATAAGATTAATGAAGAATTAAACAGCTTGGTTTTGTAGAATTTTAAACAGCTTGGGTTTGCTTGTATTCTGTTGTGTGCTTAACACAAACCTTTTTACATCTTCCAAAGCCTGTATATGATGGAGGAAGAATCGAAATACGAATGAGAAACCAAGAGCTTGTCTAGTGTAAACAAATTCCATAAAATTACAACATTAAGGATAATACATTCTTGCAAAAAAGGATTTATGAGAATTATCAACTCAGAATGACAAGGTATGTAGGAAAAGGATCGATGTTTGTAGAATCAAGACTTGGTACTAGCAGTACGATAAAAAATTATAAAACATTCAGAATTGTAGAATAAAAGTCCATGTGGAATCAGTTCATGAACAGAAAGGTAGAAATGGTTTTGTCAGGAGAAAGGTAGAAATGGGTTTTTTCAGGCTGTGCATGAATCAAGTTGAAAAGGGTTTTACTGTTTTGGTCTTCCCATAATTTATAATTTTTATATGGCAGAACGATGGAGGGCGTACAACTTCAGGGACAGGTTCCAACTAACTTCTTCAGCCTTCCCAGTTTACAGACTGTGTGAGTATCAGCCAACATTCACTTTCATGAAATGCCAAAGAGTCTCTATGAAAAAGCAATTAGTTAATTTTTCAGGGATTTGATAGAAACAAGCAGCTATATATAATTTATCGGATTACAATGCACTTGCTTATAGTTTGTTTTGACTTCTGGTTATAGGGTATTAAGTAACAACCAGCTTAATGGCTCTTTAGATATCGGAACAACATAGTTTGTTTTGACTTCTGGTTATAGGGTATTAAGTAACAACCAGCTTAATGGCTCTTTAGATATCGGAACAACCTATGGTAATGGATTACAACTTGTTGATTTGCGAAAAAATTTCATTTCTGCCTACACAAAAAGACCAGGACAAAATCAAGTTGCTGTCATGTAAGTCATGTTCTTCCAAACTTTTGACTCTTATACTACTAATGAACTTAAAATTAAGATAAACTTCCTCGAGATGTTCATTGCTTCTTATGATTTTTTTATCTTTTCAAACTTGCAGCCTTGTGAGCAACCCAGTTTGTGATGAAACAGGAGTAACAGAAACTTACTGCACTATTCCCCGACCTGGTTCTTCATATTCAACACCACCAAATAATTGTGTGCCTGCTTCTTGCACTGCAAATAAAACTTCAAGTCCTAACTGTAAATGCTCATATCCGTACACAGGACTTCTAGTTTTCAGGGCTCCATCATTCTCAGACTTGGGAAACTTCACCACTTACACATCTCTTCAGCAAAAAATGATGGATTCTTTTAGGTCCAATCAACTTCCTGTGGATTCAGTTTCTCTAAGTAATCCAAGAAAGGATTCATCTCTGTATCTTGATTTGAATCTGAAAATCTTTCCATCAGGCCATGATCGTTTTAATCGAACAATTATTTCTGGTATTGGATTTGTGCTAAGCAATCAGACTTTCAAGCCACCTCATATGTTTGGACCTTACTATTTTATTATATTGCAGATGATTCACAGAGTATTTTCCTGGGTATTTTCCACTTCATGCATGATTAAAAAAGAGAATGCCTGCATCATTTTTTCTGTTTCTTATAACACCTCTAACTTTAGGGGAAGATATAGGAATCAAGCAAATCAAACACTGGCCATTATTCATTGGAGCCTGTAGTTTGGTTGTTCTGCCGTATTCTGCCCCTATTATTAATCTTAGCAGGCCTTTATGCTTATCTAATCTTAGCAGGCCTTTATGCTTATCGTCAGAAGAAGAAAGCAAAAAGAGCAACCGAACAGAACAATCCTTTTGGTACAAGATTTTGAACAACTTTTCAATTTTAGTATTCTCAAGTTCAAATGGAATCTCTCGGATTTACTTTGTTACTTCACATTGTGAAATTGTAGCACATTGGGATTCAACTAAGAACAGTGGTGCTGATATTCCAAAGATAAAAGCAGCCAAATGTTTTTCTTTTGAAGAGCTCAAGAGATATACCAATAATTTTTCAGAAGCCAATGATATTGGATCCGGGGGTTATGGAAAGGTTAACTTTTGACTACTAAATAAATTACTGAACCGTGTAATCAAATTAGTAATACGAGGTTTCATTATAAGGGAATCAATAATTTCTTCTGTTGTTTACAGGTTTACAGAGGAAACCTTCCTTCTGGACAACTAATCGCCATCAAACGAGCTCAACAAGGATCATTGCAGGGTGGGGTAGAGTTCAAAAATGAGATTGAACTTCTATCCAGAGTTCATCATAAAAATTTAGTAAGCCTTCTGGGATTTTGCTTTGAGCGAGGTGAACAAATGCTTGTGTATGAGTTTGTTACAAATGGTAGTCTCAGTGATAGTCTATCAGGTACTTTTGTTAACCCTGCAAATACTTCAATTGGATGAACAATCACATGAGAAATTAAATTTATAAACATTTGTTGCTCATTGGAACTTATTGTGAGACTAAACCTTTTTCCTTAAAAGGATGCTAATCCCTTCTTTCTTCTTTACCATCCAAGCAGGGAAGACAGGAATAAGGTTGGATTGGGTCAGGAGACTTAAAATAGCCCTTGGTGCAGCAAGGGGTCTGGCCTATATGCATGAACTTGCTGACCCTCCTATTATACATAGGGATATAAAGTCCACCAACATTCTACTGGATGAACGGTTAATTGCAAAAGTTCGGAGGCCTCCTATTATACATAGCGGGGGACTATAAAGTCCATCCAACATTCCTATCGGATGAAACGGTTAATTGCAGGAAAGTTTCTGATTTTGGTCTCTCCAAAGCCTGTTTTGGTGAAACACTAAGCCAGAAAGGCGTCATGTTACTACTCTAAGTTAATAGTGATACAATTTGTTGTTCCCCGTATGTGTGGCCACACGGGGTTTCCTTACGTGACCAATCACTCTAAAACCTTTTCACCCCCGACAAACGATAAACTACATAATGTGATATCTTGATGCACTAATAATGACGCAAACATAGGTAGAAAGAGTACATGAAGTGATGTTTAATTATTGTAGTTCATCTGAATGTTTTGATAATAATTATGTCGGCCCACCAGCTGTAAAAGCTTACTAGAAAAAATGGAAGTGGAGGAAGGAAAATGATACGCCCGATCTCTAAATAAATATTTATTATATGCAGGGGCTCCGTAGCTACAAGGTCTTCCTAGGAGTGAATTTGTAAAATGTTGGAGCGTGAAAAATACTTATTTAAGACATTTTTTAGGGCATATGGAATCCAGAAATATTACATGACAGGGCAGCAGGCTAACGAGAGAAAGAGGTGACGTTTTATAGTTTTGGAGTTGGTTTATGTTTGGAGGGCGCTTCTAACTGCGACAGATTTAGACCTTCAATAAAAAAGACAACGGGAACTTTAACATAGGGTGAGGGCTGGAGTAACGAGTGCCCGTCTGGCCCGGCCACCGTGGTGCACACCTTTTAGTATCCACCAATGGAATGGATTTATTTAACCTCTCCCAATTGCAACTTCTTAGACACCAAGGCAGAAGTGTCTAGAAACACACATTAAACGGTGCTAGATAGAAGTTTGTTGGATTCCTCTCGCCAATGAACCATTGTCATCTTCGTGTACCAATAGTAAATCAGTGGGAAAATGCAAGCACACAGCCCTTTAAAATGGGTGAGGTAGTGAAGAAATAGAGAATATCTTTGCAGTAGCTGGTTTAAACCCCAATGCTGAATCAGCATCTACTTCAGCAAGTTCGCAGGAAGCAGGCAAGGGAAGTCAATCCTTACAGCAAAATGGGTGAGGTAGTGAAAGAAATAGAGAATATCTTGCAGCTAGCTGGTTTAAACCCCAATGCTGAATCAGCATCTACTTCAGCGAGTTACGAGGAAGCAGGCAAGGGAAGTCATCCTTACAGCAAAGATGCATTCGATTATAGTGGGGGCTTTCCACCTTCAAAGATAGAGCCACAATGAACATTATTATTACCTTTCAATTTTGATATTCCCGACAGTTTGGAGTGTTTAAATCTGTTCTGAGTTTTCTTTTATTGTTCAAAGCATGTAATTCAATTGAGTTCTTTGCTTGTGAATATGTAGCAGAAGTGATGCTTTTGATATTGATAGAAAAAAAAAAATGTAAGACAGACAGATTTTGCACTATTAGGGTTTTGGGTTGAGGTTGTGTGATTCCTGATTTAGAAATTATGCAACAGAATTATGATGGCTCATAAACTCTTCACTACTCTTTTCCCTTCCTTTTCTCCTCCTTCTATTTCCCCGAAAGGTTTTTGCTGAACTAGGGAGCATCAAATAATGGGTTTACTAACTTTCTATTTTTTTTTTGAGCGCTGCCCTGCAGTCTTAGTTGCCACTTTGTGTTTCCTCTTAGAAAGGAGTAATGGGCGCATATCAGGGCTATGTATCGAAAACTACCACCGGCTGCCCATCCCTTTTTAATAGGGGTTGAATTTCCTAACTGAGTCAAGACTTTTATCTCGCTGCATACCCATTTCCATACCTCAAGCTTCTTGAATCCAACACAGATCTCATCTGATTGGGAGGAGGTGGTATATCGCGTGCGGTGGTTTTCAATTCTGGGTGATTTCACACAAGAGTGAAAACGACACATGAACTCAAGCCAGAAAAAGTCCTTTTCTTTTCTGAGGTTGGCCACAAACTCATAGAGGTTCCGGGAGGTATATTCGCCCTGACGGTCTAAAGATTTTTTGATATTCAATTTTGTCGTTTTGCCTGTGGTCTGGTAGAGGGTAAACAAATTAAACCAATAAATGGCATGGGCTATATGATATATGAAAAACAAAATATCCTTACAGGAGGTGTTTCTCTACGAAGAATGGACGTAGCTTATTGTAGAAAACAACATGAAGAGCGTGGCACTTGGTGATATACAAATCACCATCATTGAATGAAAATAAAAGCTATTGAGAATGAGAACGACAATAAACAAGATTCATTGTGCTTGTATAAAATGAAATAAGTAATAAAACTCTCTTCTCTCTTTTCATTCTGCTGCAACGAATAGCATAATTCCTGTGTGGGGCCATTTTTTTTCGAGGGCAATTTTTTTCTCTACCCCTTCTTACCTCCTGTAAATAAAGTTCAGAGGGCGAAATACCAATACCCCGCAATGGACTTCGCGCGTGACCGCGTGTTTTCTACTTTAATGTACTTCGACCAATCCTCTTTTTCCATAAACAAAAGAAAAAAATATAACTACTCGCTATATATATCATCCATCCATCCCATCTTTTTTTTTTCGTGCTCTCTACCGACATTCCTTAAACACATTGGGTCAGACACTTCGTAACAATCTTTTTGGCATCGTCCATCGTAGCTAACCCCTACCGTGGCATTTTTCTTCCTCTCTCTCAGGAGAGACAAAAAGACATAAAACTTGCTAATTTTTTCAAGGTATATGGATCCCATATAATGACTGTATAAACAAGGGGTAATAGCAGGAATACTAAATTGGTGGCACCACCTTGGTTGTTATTTCAATATGATGTCTCTCTTTCCATCTGGTAATCGGACTACCCGGCGGTTTGAGCCTGCCACCGTAGTTAGCCCGGAGACTCAACCCTTTGCTTCTTTTTCCGGTAGGGCCGACTGATACCCTCTCTCACGGAGAAAAAATACAATTCTTTCTGATATAAAAGGTGGACGAGCGAATCATGATTACAATGAAATCTAATTTCCTACATAACTCCCCTAATCCTTCGCTGATACCGATTAACTTATATATCCATATATCCTTTGGTTGCGGAGTAAATATCTCGCTACTTTCTCAAGGGTTTTTTTCCGGGTATTTACCAAGGGCCGGTTGGGCAAATAAAAAATCAGTCGAATAAAAAAACAAAAAATTCTATTCCTCAAACCAAAATGAGACATTCCTCTGATTTAGGAACAGATTACAATTAATTTCCTGTAATTAATCTCTGTAATTCCTTTCCATATTCTGTTTGTATTCTCCCTATTTAAAAGGTCTTGGACATCAATACAAAATCATCAAGAATTCAAAATCCTCAAACACTTTCATGGTATCAGAGCTTCAGTTCTGAATTCCCTCCCTCTCCTTTCTCTCCCATATTTTTTTTTAGCTGCTGCCGCCGATAGCCATGACACAAACAGAAGTCCCATCTTCGACCTCCAACCCTAAAACACCCACCCCCATTCACCCTGCCTACTACTTCCAATCAACTGAAATGAAACTGACACCTATCTTCCAAGTCAGACAAGAAATTACAGGAACTGCAAGCCCCTCACGATGCGTCAGCCAGGCATGTTTACTCATAGACAATTCATCATGGGTGAACTATTCACTTCAGTCGGTCATTCTATGCATACCGTGTTCTTGATCAACGGGATGTGATGACACGCGCACCCCGGCAAAGAAACCACAAAGAAACAAAGGCGGCTCTTTATTCCGAGGAAAGAATTCCCATACAAGTAACAGTTTGCTTTGGGAGAAGCACTAAATAGATTAGCAATATATGAAGTCGGTGGCTCAAATCAGCGCATTTCACCTAGTACCTCCAAGGGGTGGCCTTGCCTTTTGCTCGTCTGTTATGAAAAAGGCGGCTCAAAACAACACCTCCACCTGGCTGGTCTCCTGCGCCACCCTTAACCATCACCCGACACTCTCCTTTTTTAAAATTCCACTGGAAAAGCGGGGGAAGCCTATCAGGATTTAAGGAAAAAGACATGGCTGAGGGGCACACCTTTTGTAGAAAAAGGATCCTTCCTTAGGCTATACCATAGAAAGCCAACAAGCCGCGGGCCAGGGCGGCTCTTGGGATTTAAACCCAAAATCTACTGCTGACGAATGATATCTACACCCGTCTTGACACACATATCGCAAGTTTCACGAGTATAGTAACGTTCACCTGCACCAGACTTGAAACGCACACAAATCTGCCCGTTCCCCCTTTCAGAGAGGGCCGCAAGGAACCTTTGAAAAAAAAAACCCCTGTTTTTAAATTTTTCTGGAAGCGAAGGGGTGTGCACAAAAAATCAAACCAGTTAAATCCATAAGTTATTCAAAGATCCCGATAGTTGGTTTTCTTTTGGAGCACACCTTGCGGTATTTTCGTTTGGGCTATTACAACTAACACAAGACATTCGACGCCATAGGCTTCTCTTAATTAAACTACAAAAAAGCAGGACTGGGCTCTTGCACGAACCATGTTGAATGATGAGGGTCCTTCTATTCGCCCTTCGGCCGGCACCGCGCCCCGCATGACAACAGACCACACCACCTGCATGTACCCAAATATCAAGGTTCTTGCGGGGGCTTTATCCCTAGAAAAAAAAAATGGTAGCAAAAAAGGTTCCCCCCCCCAACTGGGCTTTGCGCGCCCCTCAAAAAACGCCGCATTTTTTTTTTCGGGGAGGAAAAAAACCCCGCTTAGCTTGGGGTTTTTCCAGAAGATTCGGACGGCGAGCGCACACCAAACCATAACTCCTTAGTCACCCGGTTCTCTACTCCAACTCCAACCATACGCTAGAGAAACACACAAAATCAGCCATCACAAACAGATCTATTAAACTCCAACTAACACAAATTTATAAGGCCCCGCTGTATCTTCCAACATCAAAAGTTCGGTTTTCGGACCTCCCACCTTTAAGTTTTTCAATCCCCCAAGGCTTTCATCGCTGGGGTCATGGATAGATTTTTTTTGCAATGAGATCGAAAAAGAGACACCAGCGACGCTGCGCAAGGGTAGTGCCCGCGAGGGGACGTCCCCGCATAGGAAAGCTCAGTGACAATACAGGTGGAAAGCGCCTCTCATCACGGGGATCTGATAACCAGTTAGAAGCTTTCCGTACTTTTTATACTCCCGCATAACGCGCGAGCCTCCTCCGGGTTGGGCGGGTCCTTAATCAAACTTTCCTCACCCCCCCTAATAAACTGACCAGAGGCTTCGCGCGCGTCGCGCAACTTACCCGTCCAGCGCCCTTGTCCTTACTCGAACAACAAGATCGCCACAGAACTCCATCGGCCTTTGCGACAGCATCTCAAAATTCATTTCTTCAAAAGCTTCACAATAGCACGACAGCAGCGGTACACACAGACAAACGCCGCCACTCTCACGATGGGCCCCCTCCCTCCCCCCAAACTGGCGTTAAGGTTCAGGAACAGCAGGGCTCCTGGGATAAACGAGCCTTGTCCTACACGCAGTTTTTATTCAAAAAATCGCGATTTTCCTTCATCCACTCAACCCTTCTTCTGTTCCACAAACTCCCGATCGGGGGTGTCATACTGGATATTGTTTATCCACCCTCCTTTTTTTTTTTTTTAAGTCCATCCTACCTTTCCGACTCCTCTAGCCCAAACGCTGGGTATGGGGATAATCACTACGGTACTTCGCTTATCGGTTTCATTTTTCAAAACCCAGGAAAAAAGTAAAAAAAAAATTTTAAGCCTTGCAAGGGGTTTTGGGTACTCGCCACTACTTGCGCCAAACTGACATTACAGATTCCAAATCTTCTGAAATCATCAACGGGGAATTCCAAAGCGTGCCCCCGGATCAACAGGGCAAGAACACCCTCATGTCCCATCTACCGGGCTACTGACAACGGGGTCAGAAAAGGGCGGTAAAGGAGCTAGTTTGTGGGATGATTCGCAACCCTTGACTCTTTTCGCTGTCGTAGAGCCACCTTTTAAACTTTTCGGTCCTTATATCCGAAGTGCGGATACCACATCCGGACACCTATGTGCCAATTCACCTCAATTGAGGGTGCATCAGGAAAACAAGTCGCGCAATCTTTCTACCCTTCCCATCCACCTTACACGCGCTTTTATCATTACACTCCGGCGCCCAACACCTAAGGTGACACTATATAACGGACAGCCAAAACGCAACCAGAGCTTGGTTTAAAAAATTTGCTCATTAACCAATACTTTATTATCTGTCCGCCCCGTTTTATAAACCCCACAGATATATTTTATTCACGGATTTAGAGGACCCGTGAAAGAGAGGAAGATCTTAGGCCGCCCCTCCCACAACTATATTATTTTCGGTCGTTCGCAATCTGCCTGACAACACTCTTTTTGGTATCATACTTTGAAGGACCACGGGCAAAACAGGAACCAGCTCCTTTTCCCGGAAAAAAAGCCACAAATTTACTCAGGCA